AAAATTAGTAAAGATATCCTCGGGTGAGGATTAAAAAATAAATAAATAAAACGGGACAATATATGCTTATAAAACCAATGGGAATTTGTTTACATATTTTATAAATGAAAAATTCCAAGTTCTTAAAATGCAACTGCTTTTTTTGGTATTTCAGGCTTATACCAGCCAGTTTGTATCCCTTGTGATGTTTGCCCTTATGATGTGTGATGACAGGATCTCCATTCAGGAGAGACGAAAAGAGATCATGCTTGGACTGAAGCGGCTGCCTGGTACGAAGATGCTCTCATGCTACATACACTCTTGTTGTCTAAGGGAGTCAGTAATGGGTGAAATTCTCTTCTTATCCTTGAAGCTGTGGCTTGTAGCTGTTTTATCAAGAAATCTTTCTAACCTTTGTATTTAAAAATCCCTCACTGATATCACAAAGGAATAGAAACACTGGTCTTTGTCAGTTGCTACCAATATATTATTGTTTTTATATTGGTTCTGTTCATTGTCCTTTTTCATAGATGTTACTAATGTTACTTCTTGACAGATTTGATTAAGGAAGTACTGAGCATGGATGATGAAATTCAGAAACTGGCAACAGAACTTTATCATCAGAAGTCGGTTTTGATAATGGGCCGTGGCTATCATTATGCTACTTGTCTTGAAGGGGCACTGGTAAGTCTTCTCACTTACAATTTTACTCTATTGACTTGTGGACCTGGCACAAAATCATACTTTTAGTTTGAATGAAATAGGTGAAACTTTTACAAGTGTTTTTGTTTTTATGCATTCTGATTTGTTTGCCTTGAGAAGGTGTAACAATTGATAGTTCATGATAATCTAAAATCTTGAAAAAGTCCTTGTGGAGTTTTATAACTTCCAGTCACTTGTTGATGTTACAGAAACAATGATCTGTTAACCTGTTGGCTATATTTACAGATTGGTGGTCCTTTAATGCTTTTGGATAGACAGCAAGTTCAGACATCGAATGTTTTGTGTAATATTTACTTAGAAATAGGTTTTTGAAAAAGGGACTGAAGACTAATCTAGTTCTTTCTTATTAGAAAATCAAAGAAATCACTTACATGCACTCTGAAGGCATCCTTGCTGGTGAATTGAAACATGGCCCTCTGGCTTTGGTGGATAAGTTGATGCCTGTCATCATGATCATCATGAGAGATAATACTTATGCCAAGTGTCAGAATGCTTTTCAGCAGGTGATTGCTAGGCAGGTAAGTTGGGCTGCTGTGAGGACACCTTGGGGGCCTAAGAGTTGGGCCACTAAAGCTTATTTGAATTTTATGACATTTAAAATGATAGACCGGGGCCCAATAGATAGCTTGCAAAAATATGTTTAGGTTTACATGTGAGGAATTTGAGATTCTCAAGAGTTTTGACAAGACCCAGCTCATAGATCTCAAAATAGGCAGAATCAAGACCAAAACCGAAATCTTGCTCTTCAAATCCTGTCCTCTTCAATTAGCTTATGCTGCTCCCTTTTAATTTAATATTCTTAAATGTATATTTTAGGAGGAACTAGATTTTCACCTTAAAACTATAGATGCTGTGCTTAGCTGAGTTTTCTTCATATCATTTGGCTTTATTTATAAATCCCAAAAGATAATCTCTACTCACAGTGTAGTTGTTATGAACTTGGGCTTTGAAGGCAGGCAAACCTAGATTCAAGTACAGATGGTCTCTAGCTTACAATGGTTTGACTCAAGATTTTTCGACTTTACGATGGTGTGAAAATAATATGCATAATAAATTACATGAGATATTCAATACTTTGTTTTAAAGTAGGCTTTGTGTTAGATGATTTTGTTCAACTGTAGGTTAATAAGTGTTCTGAGCATGTTAAAGGTAGGCTAGGTTAAGCTTTGATGTTTGATAGGTTAGGTGTATTAAATGCATTTTTGGCTTATATTTTCAATTTATGATGGGGTTTATAAGTAGAGGAGCATCTGTATTGAGCCTGGTGTTTCTTAGTTGTGTGAGTTTAAATAAATGACTGACTCCTACAAAGCTTCCGTTTCCTTGACTGTGAGATCAATCTGACTTACCACATAGGATTGTGAGTTTAAATAAGTCTATGTTAGGCCACATGTGAATTGTTGAGTGCAAAATTTGCACATTCAAGTGAAGTACTGCAGCTCTTACTTCGCTTAGCAGTAATTGTGTGTGTGGCTTTCTTTCCTAGGGACGTCCAGTGGTGATTTGTGATAAGGAAGATACCGAGACCATTAAGAACACAAAAAGAACAATTAAGGTCCCCCACACAGTGGACTGCTTGCAGGGCATTCTCAGCGTGATCCCCTTACAGTTGCTGGCTTTCCACCTTGCTGTGCTGAGAGGCTATGATGTAAGTGATGGAAGTCACGGACCACTGCAGAAATCTTGGGCTGGCTTTTTAGCCGAGTATATTCCGATAGTATTTCTTCTAAATATTTAACAATAGCATTTGAGAAATCCATCAGATATGTATCTGTCACCTGTTACATTTGTATGGCCCAATTTATATCTTACATCCTAACATTTTCTTACCATAGAATTTAAAAGGATCTTGGAGATTATTGCCACCGTTGGAGATTACCTTTTTGGGGAATCTCTACTTGTTTTTATTCTGTGTTTCCTAACTCTTTGTTTAGGACTATCACACACATTGCAGGACTTTTTTAATTTTTGGTCCCCCAGTCATTGTGACAACCAAAACATCCTGCTCTTACACTTTTACTGTCCCCTCAGAGGGCTGCCACCTCGATAGTGAACCACTAGAACTCTTTGTGTGCTGAACCTGGCTCCTTTAGAATTCTTTTTCCTAACTGATATCAAGCCTTTTAAAGATACATTTTGTGACTATATTTTCTAATCTGATTCTTTGTAGTCTATAATAAAGATGGTTAGTGAACAAGTTTTCTATTTTTACAAACAAATAATTTGCTTATAGAACCCCCTGGCCCCCAACATCTGTATAATCTTTTTAATCTTGCTCTTTTTTTTTGCAGGTTGATTTCCCCCGGAATCTTGCCAAATCTGTAACAGTAGAATAAGAAGCACCTGAAACTCTGGGCGATTAAGCAACACAAGACACCTTTTGTATTTAAAATATCACTCCTTTAAGCTTTTTTTTTTTTTTTTTAAGTAAATCCTTATTTATATATCAGTTATAATTGTTCTACTCAATTTGTGATTTTTGTGAAATTACCTCTTATTTTTCCAGAGGGGGAGTTTGAAAAATGGAATCTATATTCAAATCAGTATCAGAAACAGATTTAGCTCTCATTTTCTTTAAAAGATGCTGGGAGTTGGATTTCTGGACCCTCTACTTCAATCTGAGAGGATTGTGTGTTTTAAAAGTAATTGGCATTTGTTTTACCATGCAGCTGTTCATGCAGACCAGTGAAAGAGTAGTGCATTTATTGGAGATCTAAAGCCAGTGGCAATTACTTGGACATTGGATTAGGTTTTGCTAAATTATATATAAAGATAAGATGCTATGATTTACTTTGAAATTTGTGTACTTAAAAACAGAAAACTTTTCTTGGTGGGATTTCTACTTAAGTTAGGTTAACCTTAGTGTCTTAAATTTGTTGTTTGTTATCAAGGTAGTTTAGGAAGCTAAATAGTGTAGTAGTGCGTTGGCTTTCTCCAGCCCTTAACAGAAAATATTTGTACAGTTTCATAGCACAAACTTTAAATTTGAGCTGCTTTGGACAACTGACAATATGATTTTAAATTTGAAGGTGGAATAGATATATGTTGTATATCCAACTGTTTTTTTGTTTCCCAAAAGTGTTTTTTATTTCCTTGTATCTGTAGTTTTTGTTTAATCACTCCTGAATGACATATTTTATCTTCTTCTTTGAAATCACCACACAGAGTTGTTATCAAATGTCTCAAATTAAATCTGTATTGATAAATTCAAAATTCTCTTCAATTTTGTCCCAAAGAATTTCCTGCAGCTAATTTAACTTCCCTTCACTTCCTTGTATAAAACTAGTACCTTCCTGCGAATTCGGAAGCTCTTTGCAATTGAAAGATTTGCAAGTCTTTTGACTAATCATTTGACTCTATATGGTGGTCTAGGCTTAGAAAAAGTGATATGCTTTACACTGAAATTAATGAAGGATTACATCAAATTTAGTATAGGCATACCTTGGGAATATTGCGGGTTTGGTTCCAGATCACCATAATAAAGCTAATATTGCAATAAACGAGTCATAATCTTTTTGCTGGTGGAGGGTCTTGCCTTCAGTTTGTAAAAAACACGACATCTGTGAAGCACAATAAAGTGAAGCACAATAAAGCGAGGATTGCCTATACCACTACCTAGGTATTTTTCTCTCTGGATTTTTTGTGTTCTACCCCTTAAATTTATTTAGGAATGAAGAAGATATAAATAAAATGATATTGAGGTGACTTTAGCTGGTTAGTGTCAGAAATGGAACTTAACAATTAAGATTAAAATATTTAGATTACAAGTTTGATACTCAAAAAGTTGTAATTCCCTCATGGAGCTTTTTTGGCCAAATCTTTGGGGTTATAGCACAGTGTGTTTATGTTTTGATCAACTCCTCTTTCAAAAGTTTTCATTTTAAAATTGTGAAGGTAAGGTATTTAGCATAATTATCTAAGCTTAGTCTTTTCCTTTTTCTGTTTGAACTTCTTGATGAGGTTAAGATTTTCTGACAGCTATTGCTGCAAGGGAAGCATAGAATCCTGCTTATGTAATTAGAGAAAGAATTGGCACATTTTGAGATAATTTGGGAAGACTCTCATTGATGGAGACTAGAAGCCTGCTGGTTTTTAAAAATAGAATTACTGTTTGCATCATATGTATAGCTTCTATAGCTATATTTATCTATTTTAATTGTTTCTAAGATTATTTTGTGTAGGCCTGCTAGTTTTAATGTGTATATTGTGTCATTTCTTATGTTTGTTATATTAGCATTTTACACACATGATTTGTATGGGTTTGTAGCATTCCTTGATTTTAATATCTAGCCTATCAAATTCATCTTCTAAAGAGCAGTCACAGTTTCCAAGTTCTTGAGTCTAAAGAGCCAAAATTGAGAGATTCCCAACATAGACTTCACAGTGTTAAAAAGCAAAATTTAACCAGTAAATTTGAAGATCTAACTGGCTTTATTTAAGCAGTTAATGCATCAGGCAGCATCCCATCTAGCAGCTAGAAGGGTGTGCCCTGTAGCATTTCTTACAGAACTAAAGTTTGAGTCAACATTTTAAGTGAAACTAATATGTGAAATTAATCATTAGTTGTCACAGTCTGCAACCCCCCCCCTTCTCCCTCTTCCTAACAGACACACTTCAAAATAGGGTAAGTTCTAAACAAAGTATCAGAAGCTAATAGTAAGGAAAAAGAGGTGATATTTTCCAAACATGGTTTCTCCTCCCTCCCTTCTTGTTTCCTACCCTATTTAATGTACTGATTTTTAAATTGTTTTATGAGTTATGAACACAAAAAGGACACTGTAGTGAGGCAAACCACTAGCAAGTGTGCCTGCCCACTTAAAGCCAATGCAATGCGGGATAAGAAAATCTGATGTTCAAGAAAGATATTCTACAAGAGAAGTCCTTTGTGTAAAATGTCCTCTCTTGTAGTGCATGTAAAGTTTACATTCACTCACATACAGTGTAGAGTTCTTATCCCAGGCCATGAGCCCTTTTTAGGCTGGGCTCGTGTAGCGTTTAACACAGGGCCCAGGAAATGATTGTTACTGGGGAGTCAGTTTTCGGTCTTTCTTTAATCATCTATGCCATAGGAATACATGATAAGAGAGAAATTAATGTTAACTGATTTTAGTTTGTTATATCTAACTGTGCTGACAACCTATTATGGGCAAGTCACTGCCCTAGGAGCTGAAAAGTGCGTCTTGTTTAAAGCAAAGCCCGTTTGTCTGCAGGTAGACTCATCACCAGTGAAGACTGGGGTTGTTGAAGGGGATGGGGTGAGAGAGTGGGTTGTTAAATGCGAGTGGATTTGTTCAATTCAACCATGGTCCAAGTTTTCGGGTGTGTCATGTTCATAGGAGGTGTGATAAGCTATTATCACAGGCTATAGACCCCTGTCTCTGCTGTACTCTAAGAAATAGCGCTCATTACATGCAAAGGGGAAAAACAAGCACCGGTACTACTCAGAGGGAACTGGCACAAGGTGATGTGCCCAGGGGGCTGCTGGGGAAGAGAGCTAATACAGATTTTCTTCAGTTTTTTTAGAAAATTGTTTCTGAGATGGTATCGTCTTCTTTTTAATACAGGTCCCTTGGCCTGAATCAATTGTGCAGATGGGAGGAAAGGAACCTTTTTTTTAGTTTCTTGGCAATGTACCTTTGACACTTACGTTCTATTAACTCTTCAGGGGAGGGAAAAACAGCTGAAAAGTTTAACAAACATTTTTAAAGTTTTAATCTTCATCCAAGGATATTTTTTCCATTGATTATTTCAGAGAGAGTGGAGGTGAAGGGGGCATGGAAGATAGAAGCATTGATGCAAGGGAGAGACATCAATCGGTTGCCTCCCCGTCCTGGGATTAGGCCTGCAACCGACATATGTGCCTTTGACTGGGAATCGAACCTGTGACCCTTGGATCCATGCGCTGATGCTCTAACCACTGTGCAAAACCAGGGCTTTAACAAACATTTTTTTGATTTTGGAGAGAGGGGGAGAGAGAAACATCAGTGATGAGAGAGTCATTGATCGAGCCCGCAACCCGGACATGTGCCCTGACCGGGAATCAAACCCCTATCACCTGGATCCCAGCTTGACGCTCAACCGCTGAGCCACGCCCGGCCGGGCCATAACAAACATTTTAAGAAAGTCCTTTGAGGTCAGTTCTTTTTTTCTTTCTCTCTCTTTTTTTTTTTTTTTTTAGTTAGAATATACTCTAACGATAAAAGGGAAACATTAATGTTAACTAAGGAACGATACAACTTAAGTAATTTTTACAAAACACATTGTCATTGAAAAGTTTATTGAAAAAATTAATAGTTTTCTTTGAATTTGTGAAGGCCAAAGAAATTGAAGGGAATGGTAGGTAAAGAAAAATGCTGTAGTCTTATATCCACATATTTTGTAGATTTTTTTTGTACCAGAGTACCAGATAGACTGTTTTATCCATGAAAGCATATTTCAGATTGCTTACTTTGTTTTTCATGCTAGAATCAAGTTTAGAAGTTTTAACCCTTAAATCAGTTTTCTCCCACAATATTTAAAGGTTGATAATATATCGGTATTTCCTTAGCTTCATTAATTAAACACATCTTCAGATCTGTGACATGACAACCAATAGGACTGATATTAGGTTCCAGCCAATAATACCCAGGGTTAAAATAAAAATCATAGTTAATTAGCAAGATAGTAAAGTTATAGCATATTAACTTGTAGGTCTATAATAGGCTGATATCAGTGTTAGGGAAGCTACCATAAATAATGGCGAGTGAGAACATTTTAGAAAATTCTTTCTTACTATACTAGTTTTCAGAATGAATATAGAAATGATCCTGTTAGCTTTTTAGATGTTCTACGCTTGAAATTTTTTGAAGTAAAACTTTGTATTTCTTAAGAGCTGGGCATTTTAGAATTGTTCTTGTTTTGTTTATAGTTTTCTGTTCTTTAAAATGAATGTTTAGTTAACTGAGGCAATTGGTCATTTTTTCCTCATGCCTTGTAAGTCCAGTGATTCTAATCCTGAACTGTGAATAAATTACCAAAGTTTTCTGAGAGTTGCATTTTGAAGCAATTTGCCAATATTTGAAATACATACATGTTTGTAATTGTGTCAAAGATTGTATTGTACTAAGAATATAGTGAATGTTTAGTTTTTAGTAAACATTTCTGATGTTAAAAGTTTATTCATTATTGTTGCTTTTAAAGAGAAGAAATCATTGTATTTAATATAATCAAAAGCTGCATGTCTCCACTCCAACTTCTCAGTTCTAGAAAGGATTAAACAAGGCTATACTCTTATGATGTCATACTGCATGCATGTACTTTCTCAAATGTTAAAAAAAATTTTCCAATAATGTGTTGCTTCTAGCACATTTCCAGGGTACACAGTGATCAATAACTGATATTTAAGGTGGGTGAGTAGTAAGATAGCATGTACAGTTGACTTTTGAACAACAGGAGTTTGAACTGAATGGGTCCATTTATATGCAGATTTTTTTTCAATAGATACTGTAAATGTGTTTTCCTTATGATTGTCTTCATAACATTTTCTTTTCCCTAGTTTCCTTTATTGTAATAATACAGAATATAATACATAAAACATACAAAACTTGTGTTAATCAGCTTTATGTTAGCAGTAAGTCTTCTCTGGTCAACAGTAGGTATTAGTAGTTAAATTTGGGAGGGAATCATATGTGGATTTTTGACTGGGGTGGGGGGTATTAGCACTCCTAACCCCCATGTTGTTACAAGGGTCAACTGTACTCCAAATTTAAAGTTTCTGTAGATCTGGCAATTTGTTAATTATAGAACAAAGATTCCTTTTACGGGATCCTTTTATAAACAGCAAGCTAGAATCTCTGTCCTTAGTGCTCACAGCACTGGCTGTGTTTTGCAGGAGGCCGAGTTATACCAGGGTGGTTTGAATGAATAGATGTGCTGTTTTGCCTGCCCAGAGAATTGAGCCCAGACTCTTGTCTCTTTCACTCTGTGTTGCTCTGCAGCAAAGCCTAGAGCTGCAACCCAGCAGGGATCATTTTCTCCACAGGCCACATTTTTTACATAAAACTCAGCTTTACTCTTAGTGAATAATTTTCTTTAAATTCTTCTCAATTGACTATCAGTAAGCTGTGTGCTTATTAAAGACCAAGAAACAATTTCCCTAAGAGTTAAGAGGCCACTTTTCATTGGAGTGGCATTTAGGGGAAAAATTTTTTTTCATGTTTTTTGGATGAGTGAAA